GTCATCTTCGGCTTGCTCTGCGTTCTACTGGCCTATCCCACCGCTTTCGTCCTTCTATGGGCATTCCTCTACTACTCTCCCATCGGTGCCTTGATCTCACTGGGCCTTGTATCGTTACTAGCATACTATCACACTATCCTCGTGAAGGGTACGTCCCTCGCTGTCTCGGTATCGCTTCAGCACTGATCCAACTCTCAGACGCGTACATGCGCATGAGGCGCATTCAAGCCACCTGGCGCGTCCTCTTGGGCATCTGGGCCCCAAAGCGCTGGGAATACTCCATCACCGCACTACAACAGTACACCACCACCCCTAAGCCTCCGCCTAACCCATGGGTCAACAAGGGGACCTCGACGCCAACCGAAGCATGGAAGGTCGCAGTATCGCCGAGCACGATGCATAGCGGTGTGCCCCACGAGCCGCCGGTGAAATCTCGCCGTAGGCGCCCGCGCTCTGGACGTGTGATGCGCCACGTTCTGCGCGCACGCGCAGAGGCCGCATCCGCTCTCGCAGCTTTCTTCGGTACACTCGAGCGCTCTCCGGCCGTGCGTGTGCGCGCATCCGCACATCTAGCCCGTGCGTACGGTGGCACCGTAGACGACGCTCCTGTTGAAGACGCACCCGATGCGGTCGCGCCGACGCCTGGCCCGACGGGATGGGCGTAGCGCGAAGGAGGTCGTCGCATTCCTGCGTGGACACGGGGCGAAAGTGGCGAACCTGTCCCATGGTATCGAGGCTGACTGGGCGCTGCTCAACTCGGACGGAGAGCTCTCGAGCACCGATTTGTTGTACGATAGCGACTCGGCTTCGAACAAGTAGGCAGGGCTAAAGCTCTCTGTTACCCTTTGTACGACGTGGGCCTGGCCTTGTTCAACACGATACGAATACTACCGCACGATCTAGCATAATGACATGACTTCCATCTCATAACAACGCCCTTTCCTCTCGTCTGAACGCGCCGCTCTTCACCAACATTCCCACCGCATCAGCAACATCAGCGCGCACATCGTGCCGCCAAATCGGCTCCCACTGCAGATCGAGGTCCTTTCTGCGCCCTTCATCGCTCGGACCGCTCGGGCCATGGCCCTCGTAGACGTCGCCTGCGCGCTTACTGGCGCTGGCGATGAACGACCCTCTTGGCACACGTACTTGATCGTACGCGCGCAAGACGTCCTGATGATAGAGGGTCGGGTCAGTAACGGATGTTCCGATACAGAGGGTCATGACGCACAGATAGGTTTCTCCGCCTCGTTTGCGGGTGCCCAAGCAAGCTCGACAGTACGTATGCGTCCTCGATCCCGGTACCCGCGCCCGAGCCGAGATGGGGCAACATTGCGTGAGCCGCGTCACCGATAAGGGCAACATTGAGCCTCTGCCCTTCTCCGACAGCAGCAACGTATGTTTCAAGCGGCGGGTATAAGCCGTGGACGGCCCATTTGCTCGGAGCTTCGATGCACTGAAGCATCGTGCGCGCGTCACGGCCGAAGTTCTTGAATTCTTCCAGCGTCTCTTCCCGCGTCACGGGGGTCACCCATGTCGTCCATGACGATTGGGGGCCCGGAGGGACCATTGCATTGGCGAAGTCGGTTGAGAAGGCGACGACGTTGTGTATGGATCCGTCTTGGATGGGGTAGCTGATGATGTGCTTTGCAAGAAACGATGTCAGCGCACTTGTGAGGGTATGATCTGTAGAGAGCGCACCTGATCTTTGCCCAACCAACCTCGCGGCCACGGTCTCAGCATCTCATCCTTGATACCTGCATCTCTTAGACGTTGAGCAGGGATAAGACCTCTGTACGCGCGCGTTCCTGTGTCCACGAGTCGGTCGCCCATCGCACCAAACACTATAAACATTCAGTATATTCACCGACTGTCGCTCAGAAGTGAACACGTACCCTTCATGCGTACGGTGCTCTTGATCCCATCTGCTCCAAAGACGACATCTGCTTCGTGCGTGCTATCATCCGAGAAGCGCAAGAGGACACAGTCGGCCGCCGCGGCGCTTGATTCGATGCCCACGCAGCGCTTGTTGAAATGAGACTTCACGAGAGGCGGCAGCACTCGTGAAAGCGCCTCTAAGAACGCAGCGCTGTACGTCGAGGTTCAGCCGTCGAAGATGAACACGTCCCATGGGCACTCACCGATGAAGCCCGAGACCCATGGTCTCGTTCTCAGTGTATGGGCCTGGTGGGTACTGTGGCAACGCATGTCAGTCAGCGTTATACTTCGGCATGTTCGTGAGAGAGACCGCACCTCGTATATCACGGCGTGCGGGTCTGCTCCGCGAGTGAAACGAAAGAGGCGCATGGATGGCCCTTGACCTTGCGAACGCGCCACCACTTCGTCCAATATACCCATGAGCTCGAGGCATTTGACCGCCGTAGGACCTGCCAGGCGCGTTAGCGATGCTTCCTTCGCGGTACCCAGAACATAGTGTACAGACCGACGCCGATCCCTGCACCGATGTCGCCGTACCTGGACTGGAAAGCAGAGTCAGGATCATTCCGGTCTTCAGAAAATCTAGCGTGCCACTCACCGCAGTTTCGAACACATCCACTTGTACCCCTGCCCGCGCTATGCCTATGGCACATATAAGCCCAACGATACCGCCACCGACGATAGCCACAGAGAAGTCTCTCTGAGCAGGCATGTAGAAGCACGCGGAAGACACAAGTAGCGGGGCAGATGACACGGTCCCAGAGGATGCTCCTCGCACTCTTATTTAAGCACGCTTGCTTCAGATAGAAGTTTCACTCGGAGTTCACATAGATACCGTCCGAGCTGGGAACAGTAGCGTGCTTGAAGAGGACCCATGAGAAGAACAATGTATCACGCGCCATAGCTGCAGCCTATGGGTAATGGCAGCCGGATCGCGTCTCTCCGGCGATGTGAAGGGCACGTATTGCCCACGCTTTCGGTGTCTGGACACGCTCCGATGAGTTGAGAAGAATGAACGACAGCAGGTATGGTCCTCGACTAGGGTGGCGCCGGAAGTGCGTGAAGGCACAAAGTTTGAATGGGGGTATGATTTACGGTATACAGCTTTCGCGGTGCAGCCAAAGCATGAGGAGTGTTAAGATCATTGGGATTCTAAGAATATAGAGGGAGCCTTCAATCTTGCTTCGGCCCATCGAAGTACATTAGCACAGGGAGCTTCCTACATTCGTCGCGCAAGTGAGCGAGCGAAATGGATCGACGCCGCGCGCCTGCGTCTTGTATCTGTCCGTCTTCGAGAGTAGGTGAGGTCACATGAGCCAACCTACGAGGGCGCTCGTCAGCATATGCAGGAGCAGTCTGGAGTCCTTCACGCGCCTGTATAGGTCCGCCCACCAGAGTAACGTGCCATGAGGTGCCATGACGCTCCAGCTTTCTCGAGCTACTCTTCCTCCCGTTCCTCGCCGCAACAATGCCAGAATAGCGTCTATCTACGCTTCTTCCATCTCCATCCTTCCAAAGAACGACGCCTTGAGTTCGCTAGTGCACCGTGGGTTTGGACGCTAGATGTGTCGTCGGTCGTCGTCGGTGGTGGTCGTGAGCGCAGAGTGCAACAAGAGATGCACTCGGAAACGTGACCGCGCCCGGATGGTGGTCGGATCTGGCGTGTGCCTTCCTGCTATTGACCACCACGATCGTTCTCAATCACTATGTTATTCATCCTGCCTGCATCGCAAAGCCACGACTCCTGTCTAGGGCGCGCCTTATGAGCACTGTGAACCTGCGCTGGCCGAGCTTCGAAGATCTGATCACTCGGTCAACAGGGCGTTCCATCAAGCCTGAGAGCCCGCACGTAGACCACCAGGACGACTCACGATTGCATACCTGAGCTCTCTCGGGAGCAATTTCCCATCGTTTGTCCATCGCTTAGTGATGGAAGACCCGTTGCACACCTTGTATGCACGCTGTCAGCAACGTATCGAACTCTACATATGCCGATTTCATTTACAGTGGATGGACTGTCGTGGTGCGCTGCACTCAGTACAGAACAGGACAAGTGATCCATACGTGTACTCCGCTTACATGCGCAGATGGCGCTTGACTCTCGCTTATGATGATGCAAGCCATGATCGTGATAACGGTGTTCTCGCAGTGGCGTCAGCGAACTCGGCCGTTCAAGACGCGCAACCCGCAGGGTTCCTTCCCAGACCCATATGTTCCATCTCTATATCACGGCTCTTGCTTATTGCGTTTCAGCGACATTCATCTCAAACTTTATGCACTACGTCTAACGGCTCCCGTGTACATCTCTAACAGGCTGTAAGCAAGTCCACGCTGTATACAGTCACCACATGGCGTTCATGGCAACTGCAGTATCAGTAAATCTCGCGCTACTGGCTGTCAGAACGTGAGTGCGCTCCCGTGCTCTTACTACATATAAGTAGGACCAAATTACTCGATCAACCATAATATGTCATGGCTGCCGCCGATCCGACATACCCGCTCTACCCCATTGCCTGCCTTCTGGCTGCAGCAATGCTACTCCTCGTGCTAATGACTAGCTTCGTCCGCCAGAGTTGTAACATCGGCGTCGCCTTCTTGTGTTTCTGGCTCTTCTTCGAGAATCTTACCGGCGCCATCAACACTATCATATGGTCCGATAATGCCGACATCAAGCTGTATGTATATTGTGACATCGGTCAGTACATATTCAATGCGGCTGTTTACTCGCTCAGACACCATCTGACATAACATTGAATAGTAACACACTTGAAACTGATCACCTTTGTTGTCAAACCTATGGCTACGCTGATCATCACTCGCCGACTATATCTGATCACCAACCTACGTTCCGTAGATCCCCCTACGAAAGCGGCGGTGAGGAGTAGAGTATGGTTGATCCTCCTCGTTCTAACTTCAGTATCAGAGACGCAGAAATCTTGCGATAGAGTGGGCACTCGGTTTGGGCATTCCTCTTCTGGTTGCGGGACCTCTCTGTGAGTACGTCCATGGCTCGAATTGCACCACGTGTGTTCAGCCCGCCCGGAGACTACGTCGTCCAGGCTCTTCGATTTGAGGTCGACGAGGGTTTTGGTTGTGGCGACGGATCCGACGGATCGATACTCACCATCTTGCTTCTTAATTCATGGACTGTGTTACCTCCCCTGGTGTCCATCACCATGTACTATCGTGCGTCGGGTTTATCTTGTACGATCACCCCTTGATCTTGCAATGCTCATACTTACTACTCCAGCTCATGTGGTCCGGATCTTCTATCGCCATAATCGGGAGATCAATCAGTTCTTACGAAGCAACGACTCGGTGACCCGGAACAACTACTTTCGCATTCTTGCCCTTGCAAGCATCGATATCCTACTCACCTTACCTATGGGAATTGTGACCATCGTCTTGAGCGTGAAAGACTTTGCGTCTTCGGTCGCTTCCCATTCTACTTTGGCTGGACCTACGACCACATGGACTGGCAGCCGGAGGGTGTTACCTATGCGGAGCTAGTGCTCTTCGGGCCTTTCACTGTAGCGCAAATCTACTTCGCTTCATGGACATCACCGGTCCTCGCATTCGCCATCTTTGGCCTCTTCGGCGTCACATCGGAAGCCTGTGCGTTGTACTGGCGTGTCATATACACCGTTGGCGGCTGGTTCGGCTGGCGGCCCATACCTCGCACGCGCAGGGCACGTTCGCCGCTGGGAGACATAGAGTTCGGCGAGCGTCCTGCTCGAACCTCGATGTCGCTGGGTCTCGAGTACGCAGCTCGTACGTTCACGCAAGGCATCCAACTGACGATGACGAGCTAGGTCGAACCCAAGCTACATCAACACCAACGCACGCGCGCACGATCAGGACGGTGGAGCAGGAGGTGTCGTGAGGCACGCAGAGAACAGCCCGGAAGAGAATACCATAGAGGAAGTACGCCGGAGTACTGCCGAAGAGACGTACGTGGCCATCCGACGTCGTTCTGAGTGCTGAGAGTATCGCTAACGCGTTGGGTAGGCACGACGAGCGCCCAACACAGCCTTCCGCGTCTTCCCAGGTTGGCTTCGGCTTTGCTTCGGCCGAGGTGTAGGGCGGTACTGGGTGCTCATTGACGTTTCTGAGCAGCAGCGCTGCGGTTTCTCGCTGTGCGAGGTCATTTGTAGTTCGAGCATCGGTTCTCAAGTCCGTATGTACGCGCGTCCTTACTCCGTACACTTCATATATCGTGGTTATGCCGTATATACACAGGATAGTGGTATTGTGCTACGATGCCAGCGCGAAGGCTAAATGAAGCGAACGGCGGAAGTGGCCTTGGAGTTCGACATATATTGTGCTATGAACTGATAAGTAAAGAGTATGCGAGATGTCGAGAACAATGAACGCACCTGCGCCCTCGCTCCGTGACCGCACCAACTTCCACCAAGTGCCTCTCGCGGCATATTGAGTTTCGAGGTATTATCTGTAAGCGCAACTGGGACGGCAAGTCATCTCGTCCGTGAACGTGCCGAGATGCGCGTACAGTGGATCATGTTTGAGGTCCGCCTCCGATATGGCGTAGGAAGACAAAATGCCATGCGGGTGAGTAGGGTGGTCGGACGTTCGGCTCGCGGCCAACTTGCAGGCTGAAGGGCCCCGTTCTACAATTCGTGGAAGGGTAGATAGAGATCCATTGGTGTATGACGAGTTGAAGCAGTGGCAACAACCAAGAGGAGAGCTCAGACATGAGGAACAAAGACAGGCTGTTCGCCGTCGTTGCGGTCGCAAGAGCGAAGTTAGCGCCCCATCGCCTGTCGCGTTCGTTTATTGCGGCCCGAGTGCCGGGCTGTGCCGGACCCAACGCCTGCTCGTCGTCGCGACTCTTTCTCTCTCAGCGACCACCGCATATTACATAGGAACGATGCCCTCATGAATATGGCGTAACATAAGCCGTACTTGGCCTCGCTACTCGACCAACGGACTCGCGCGAGCTCTATAGATGCCATACTTTCCTTGTAGCTGTGCTTGGTGTTCCAGCGCTTTCCCGTTGTGCAGACGGCGCAGCTCGGGTTCCGTCTTATCAAGAGTCACACCGCCTCCTCGACAGTCTCCCACCGCTTGCATAGATCACTCGACTGGGTGACTCCGAGTGCTTTATGTGCGACGCACCGAGTGAGTTGCCTGTCGCCTCGTTACATCTACATCTGCTTCGAGGTGATGCTGACTGGACTCAACAGCAGGCGTACGGTCTGGGCGCATGATATTACAGGACGGAGCTTTTTCCGACCGCCGCCCCGCCACGCTCTCAACCTTCCAGGTCAGTTCTTTTCAAGTGCCAACCGAGGACACGTATAGCAAAGCTACGATCGGAGTTGCCAATGGTGGGTGTCAAATAGCGCACTCGACAGTACGTGCTGACCATGTCTCCAGCTTGGTTCGAATCCATGTGGCGCACCTACATCGGGAAGCTGTAGAGACTGTCGCCGTTGCAACATCATCGAACGTTCACGCCCGCGTGTTCTGTACTAGTCTTGGCCATATTGCCCTTATGTCCGATCATCGAAGCGGGACGTACTTTCTGGTTTGGGAGATAGCTTTGGCTATGCAAGTACACTCGGCGGTGCACAATGTATCTGTACGTAGTGAATGGCGCGTCTCTTGCTTCCCACCGTTCCGTTGACAAGAATGGTGATGTCGTGGAAGCCCATAGAAACGTGCCGCGGTCTGCCTACCCGCAATTGATGCGCGTACCCCTCTTACACGAACTGGTATCTCATATGGAAGTCCTACTGCTATGTTGAATGTACCCTGCGCCCATCTCATACATTGACAGATGGACTCTTACCCACTTCGCTCTCTACTAGGTATGCCCGAATGGCTGTTCAACTTCATCTACGATGTCCGTCTCTCTGCGGATACGTTCAGCGTTCACCACCACCCTCTTATGGCCACTAGAGCTCTATGCCTGCTGTATGGCTAGGGTATAAAGAGGCGCCACCTCTGCCGATGCTTAGCGACGTACAAGAGCGATATCGCAATGGCCGCCGCCGACCCGACATACCCCCTGTACCCTATAGCTTGCTTCCTGGCTTCAGCAATGCTCATCCTCGTACTGCTGACCGGCTTCGTTCGCCAGAGTTGGAACCTGGGTGTCACTTTCTTGTGTTTCTGGCTGTTCTGGGAGAATCTTACCGGAGGCATCGACGCTATTATATGGTCCGAAAATTCAGACATCAAACTATATGTGTATTGCGACATCGGCTAGTATACCTTCAGTGATTTGTTCATTCGTCCAAACTCTCCATCTAACATCATACTGAACAGTATCGCACCTGCAAATGATCACTTCGACTATCAAACCTATGACCACTCTAATCATCACCCGCCGACTATACCTAATTACCAGTCTGCGATCAATAGAAGCCACTACCATAGCGACGGTGAGTTTCAGTGCACATCCGATAGTCCTCATTCTGACTTCAGTGCCAGAGCCGCAGAAATCTTGCGATAGAGTGGGGGCTCGGTTTAGGCATTCCTCTTTTGGTTGCAGGTCCTCTCTGTGAGTACGTCTATAGCTCAAATGTCACCACGTGCACTCAGCCCGCTCGGAGACTACGTAGTTCAATGGGCTCGTTTTCAGGTCGACGAGGGTCTTGGCTGCGGCAACGCCTCCGACAAATCTATGCTCGCCCTCTTGCTTCTGAATTCATGGAATGTGTTACCTCCCCTTATGTCCATCACCGTGTACTATCGTGCGTCAGGCTTATACTGAAATATCCCTGCTTGATCTTGCAATGCTCATACTTAATACTCTAGCTCATGTGGTCCGGATCTTCTATCGCCATAATCGGGAGATCAACCAGTTCTTACGAAGCAACAATTCGGTATCCCGCACCAACTACTTCCGGATCCTTACCCTTGCAAGCATCGATATACTACTCACCTTACCTATGGGCATTGCGATCATCGTCTTGGCTGTGAAAGGCGCTGTGTCTTCCGGTTCCTTCCCATTCTACTATGGCTGGACCTATGACCACGCGTGGCAGGACGCGAGCTTCTCCTATGCAAACCTTGTGTCTAACGGGCCTTTCACTATAGCAAGCTTCTACTTCAATCATTGGATATCACCCGTTCTCGCGTTCGTCATGTTCGGCCTCTTCGGGATTACATCGGAAGCCCGCGCGTCGTACTGGCGCGTCATATACACCGTCGGCGGCTGGTTCGGCTGGCAACCCACACCTCGCACGCGCAGTGCACGTGCGCTGCTGGGAGATATTGAGTTCGGCAATCGTCCTGCTCAGGACTCGATGTCACTGGGTCTCGAGTACGCAGAGCTTGTACACCTACGCAAGTATATGACCGATGACGATGAGCTAGGTCGAACCCAAGCTACATCAACACCAACGTCCGCGCGCAAGGTCAGGACGGTGGAGAAGGCGATGTCGCAGACGAGGCAGAGAATGGGTCGGAGAAGGACACCATAGAGGAAGCACGCCGGAGTACTACCGAGGAGAGGTAAGCAGTTGTTCGACATTGTTCGTACTGAGAGTGTCGCTGACGTTGCGAGCGGTAGGTTTGACGAGCGCCCGATGCAGCCTTGCGCGTCTTCCCAGGTTGGCTTCGGCGATCGCGATGCTTCGACCTGCGCATAGAATGGCGCCGTGCTCATGGACATTTCGGTCTCTGCAACTTCTCGCTGTGCGAGGTCTCTTGTAGTTCAGTTATCAGGTTTCGAACCTATATGTATTCACGCGTTCGAGTTGTAAATCTCATATAGCGTGTGTCCTATGTACATTGGCATGTATGTTGTTGTACCATGTTGCCAAGTCTGTAGCCAATGCGAAATGAACGCGGCGGAAGGGTCGCCGCTCGAAAGCCCCAAGAGTGTTGAGCGGATGTGACGGACGGTGTTGACGTTGAACAGGTGGTTGACGTGGTGAACAAGCCGAGCCGGCCTACGAGTGCGATTGTTAGCATGAGCGCGAATGAGCCCAAGATCCTATCGTGCACCTGTTCTACATTCATAGCGCTGTCGTCTGCGTTTCTCAGGCCTCCGCTCGTATCGTCTTCTTCGTCAGTTCAGGCTTCATCCGATCAGGCCTCGCTCCGCCGGGTTCCGCTGTTGAAAGTCGCACCATATCTTGCCCAAGACTCGTACACCCAGCGGGATAGCCTTCTAGATCGCCAAGTCGGTGGCTTCTGAGCGCGCTCGGCTATTCCAGATGCGCAACATTTGTACTTTGGAGGTTGATGGGGCCTATGACCAGACGACAGGCTTCACACATCGCGGCTGATGGAAAAAATATGGCCAAGGTACGAGTGACGGTAGGGGGATACATTGGGCGGCGGTTGCGCGCCTTGCTTGCTGGTAGGTGGTAGCTACTAGCATCGTGGAGAATTGAAATTACACTGCGCTAGGGGCCGATGAGAAGTCAACAAGAATATCAAGAACGGCGAACGTACCTAAGTATATCATGGCAGGGAGCCGCTCCGAGTGCCTCTCGCAACAGATCTGGACTGCTTGCGCCGAAAGCCCTTTTGATCCCTCAGACTAATCGCCCTTCCCTCGACCCTACCGGATTCGCATCATAAACATCCGTACTCGCGTTTCTATCATCGACACCGTGCCACGGTTGCGCATCAGCTGGAGACTCGGTGAATTCGCCAGTATAGTGTGTGTTCAGAGCTGGAGAGTTGAGTGGCTGTCGAGAGAGTAGAGCAAGCGCCAGCGCCGGACTGATCAGTCATCGTCGTCGGTCGTGGTGGTGATTGGGCGGTGAGACAATGTAGAGTGTGGAGTACTTGCAGTAGGGAACAACTGACCCTGGGAACGTGAACCCGCGGCCGCTCCGACGGTCCGGATGACGGTCGGGTTTGGTACCCGCCTTGCGCTCTGAGGTGGGTATCAACCACCATGACCGTTCTCAAGTCAAGTGCTATGATATCCTCCCTGCCTGTATCGCAAGTGGCACGAATCATGTACTGGGCGCACAGACCGGCCACCATGAACCTGCCGCGCCAGCCGCGTTCCGTCGTGTCTCAAAGCACGTACGTGGATCACCATGACGGCTTACGATGGCATCTCTGGGCTCTCTCGAGCGCATCTTCCCATCATGGAGCCATCGCGCACTGACCGACGACCCATTGCAAGCCCTGTTCTCACGTCGTCAGCAACGTATTGAACCAATACAGGTGGCGTCGTCGTTCATTGACAACGGTTGGGCTATTGTGGTGCACTGCACTCTATACAGAACCGGGTGCTTAGTCGATATCTGTGCGCCGCTATCATGCGCGGCAGCGCCTGACCTTGAATTGTCATGGTCGAAGCTATGATCGTCACAAGGCGGTTGGGAACCGGGCCCTAATGCGAGATCTACAATAAAACCAGCTCTCGGCCCACGACTTTGGAGGTAGATCCTTAGGCCTCTGCTCCCATCAGGGTTAACGAATCCGACCGTTCACGGCACGCGCAACGCGCAAGATTCTTGCCCGGCTGCACAGATCTAATCTCTGCATCATAACTCTTTTGTAGCGCGTTTCAGCCAGATACGTCTTCAGCTGTATGTGCTACGAGCAATCGCTCCCCTTATAATCTATACAGACACCGAATGAACTGTAGCTCTCAACTTACGCCCTTCCTGTCAGAACGTAGGAGCGCTCTCATGCTTCTGCTGGAATTACATATAAGGAGGATCACAGAGCTCGAACCAACCATACTGTGCCATGGCGGCCGTGGATCCAACGTACCCCCTCTACCCCATTGCTTGCCTTCTGGCAGCAGCGATGCTACTCCTCTTGCTGCTGACCAGCTTTGTTCGCCAGAGTTGGAACCTCGGCGTCGCCCTGCTCTGTTTTTGGCTCTTCTTCGAGACCCTTACCGACGGCATCGACTCTATCATATGGTCCGATAACGCCGACGTCGAGCTGTATGTGTATTGCGACATCGGTCAGTAGATCTTTGATTGGGCAGTTCAATCTTCTATACTCATCTGATATCACATCGAGCAGTATCACACATGCAACTAATCACTTCGATTGTCAAACCTATGGCCACCCTTGTCATCACTCGCCGGCTATATCTGATCACCACCCTACTTTCCATAGAGCCTCACACAAAAGTGGCAGTGAGTTGCAGTGCCCGTCCGATTTCCCTCGCTCTGACAGTATCAGAGACGCAGAGATCTTGCGATAGAGTGGACACTTGGGTTGGGTATTCCTCTTCTGGTAGCAGGACCTATCTGTGAGTACGTTTATAACTCGGATGTCACTATGTGCACTCAGCCCGCTCGGAGACTACGTCGTCCAGGGTACTCGATTTGAGGTCTTGGAGGGCTTTGGCTGCACCGACGCTGCCGATAGTTCAATACTCAGTATCTTGCTTATATATTCATGGACCGTGTTACCTCCTCTGGTGTCCATCACCGTGTACTATCGTGTGTCAGGTTTATCTCGTGCATTCGCTCTTTCATCTTGCAACGCTCATACCTGTTACTCCAGCCCATGTCGCTCGGATCTTCTATCGCCACAGTCGAGAAATCAACCAGTTCTTACGAAGCAATAACTCGGTATCCCGCGCTAACTATTTTCGGATCCTTGTCCTTGCCAGCATCGATATCCTGCTGACCTTGCCTATGGGCGTTGCGACCATCTTTTTGGTCGTGAAAGCCGCCGTATCTTCCGGCAACTTCCCATTTTACTTTGGCTGGACATTCGACCACACGGGCTGGCAGCCGGAGAGCTTCTCCTACGCATCAATAGTGTCCGAAGGGCCTTTCAGCGTAGCACAAATCTACTTCGTTCAATGGACATCGTCCGTCCTTGCACTTGTCATCTTCGGACTCTTCGGACTTACATCGGAAGCCCGCGCATCGTACTGGCGCATCATATGCACCGTCGGCGGCTGGTTCGGCTGGCAACCTATTAAGCTTCGCGTGGCGCATAGGTTGTGTTCGCCGCTGGGAGATATAGAGTTCGGCGAGCGTCCTGCTCAAAACTCTATGTCGCTTGGTCTCGAATACGCCCACCCGTGCATCCACAAGAACTAAACTGACGAGTATACTCTAGATCGAACCCAAGCTACAACGACCCCAACGCCCGCGCGCAAGGTTAGGTCCTTGAGAGCAGAGGCTCAAGAAGCGGTGATACTATGAGAAGTAAGTCTGGGAAGGATGAGATCGAGGAAGTACCACGTCTTGTGACGTACGTAGTCTTCTACTACTGGATACGTCGAGTGTTACTGTAACTCACGCATCGAGTAGGTGCTCGGATGCAGAGTGCGCGGCACAGCCACTCCGGGACGGCTTCCACGAGAGCAGCTTCGGCGACGTTTCGGTCGTGGTGTGAACGGTTTTGGTACTCGTCGATGCCTCCGTCCAGCGATATTGTGGCTTCGTACTATATGAGGTTTCACGTATCTTCCAGGTCGTATGCTGAGCGTACCTTCTTGAGGCTATGTATGCGCGCCACAGGTTAGGTTGCGATGTGTTCTGCATGTCCCGGTTTGAGCGTTTGCGGGTTTCATTAGATCGTTATGTACACGCGTCTCAATCATATAGAGTTTCGAAATCGGCGTATTGTATCATCTATGTATATGTATATGGACATGGACATCGTGGTGTATAAAGGGGAGGGGGAAGGGCAGATT